TGTGAAACAGGAAGTGAATTTTAGCCTTAATACGAAGTGAGTTAAGTATATCTGGAAGTAATTGAGAGTTCTTTTCATAACAAATGAAGCGTCATGATGATGTAATGTAAGCGTCTCAAACGCCTAAAAGAATTTCGGATAAGTTCTTTTTTGTAATTAGAGCTGCCGTTTAATGTATAGTTTTACAAAAAATGATGTCGTCATCCATAGTATTTAACACTTAGTTTAAGGTAAATCATGATTACAGAAAGTATTTTTTATAGTAAAGTTAAGTAAAGTTACAGCCTATATACGTCCCACTGCTGGGCTCAGGCCTCACGCTCATTTCTGAGAGGGTTTTAGGGCAAGGAATTGTCCGCCGCGCTGCCCCAATGCGTGTTGACGAACTTCACATGTCTTCGAAATATTTTTTTCTTATTTCTCTGACATGCAGGTTTTCTCACGATGTTTTCCTTCATCGCCGAGCACGTGGTAAATCAGCACTTAAAATTGCAATTAGCAATTTCATTGGTGCCGGCGGGGATCGAACCCGGGTTGCTCGCGTACTGTGAAATTTACAGCGAGCGCTAACCATCTGAGCTACCACGGCTCATTTTTTTTAATAATATACCTAGTATTTTTCACGCGGTAGACCGGGGAAAGAACACGCTCTCACCGAACAACAGCTTAAAATAGCAGTTTATTGCTGTTGTGCTTCGTTTTTAGAAATGTTAGTCCTCAGGGGTGAGACTGAGTGTATATTTTGATTCTGAGGATATTTTGATTAGGATATTTGAACAGAACGTGTCCGTGCGACAGAGTCTCCACGTGCTCGGGCGCCGTCAAGATGGCCAGAGGACAGGAAGGCAGGGCTCCAATTAACGTATTCTCCAGCCCACATATCCTGGAGAAACAAACCAAAACTACTTTATGATTTAATTAAAGCAGTCGCGGAAAGCATATATAAAGCCGTTTTTTTCGTGCGACGGATCACTATCCGGTTGTGTCGAATTACCGTCCCATCACACTATGAGAGTGAGGGAATAGTGAGTGCACCTGTGCTTGCGCATACACTTAGGCACTATAATCCTAATTTGCGCAGATGGCTATTCTCTTTGCAAAACTGGCCGCCGTGAACGACAATCGGGATTATTATAAAGTCAGATATCTATGGGCTACAGCATTCAATTACCAACAGCTAGACTGCGTGCTCGTTTGTCACCCTTATTCTTTAAAAACAGGTCTGTCACACAGTGGGCTACACTGCAGTCTATAAATAGGCACGATTTTCCTACTGGCTTTCTAAGTCAAGATCCGGAATTACGGAGTCGGATGGTCAGATCATTAAGTGTTATTATCAAAATAATAAAATTATTTGTTACGACAGTACCTATTTTAACCTATTAAAAAACAGTCTAAATCAAAATGATCAGAAACGTTCGGTGTATGTGTGAAATTCCATACGTGGCGGGGTGAGTGGGGGCGAGTGGAACTCATTACTGGCACGTGACACGGGCCCGCCGCGCCGCTCCCCTCCACGATGCTACATTTCGCCAATGAGTTATTGAGTGCGCTGAAGGTTCATGAGTTCGAGCTTTGGTATTAATGTCTGGGATATGTGAGAAAAATCTTTATTTAAAAATATAGATGAAAAAACTAGGTATTTTCCACGACGTTTTTGAAACGAATTTAGAGTTTTATGAAATTAAATTCAGTTCAATTCCATATACCTACTCATTACTTACTTATACGATGTCCTCCCATAAAATTTTAAGTTTATAGGAGAAAATCGGAAAAGTGCATAGTAGGTATCACAGATATCAGGAAAACAATAATTTCTGTGCAAAGATTTGTAATATTACTAATATATTTTGTAATTGAACAATATGTTTCAAAATTTAGCTAATGCTATTGTTTTTTAATGACTTTCGGAATATTGTACAACAAGAACTAAGAAATGTCATAATGCCGTCGACCATAATATATACCGTCAAGGTTAAAATATGTACATAACTGTAAACAAGGGTCTGAATCATAGTCAATGAGAAGATTAACAGTTAGTTATGTGTGAAACTTTACAGTGCGCTAATGTACTACTCTATCACGACCAGAGATTTAGAATTAGAATTTTACATACATATTAAGTCTATGGCCGCGACGGCCATTGTTAATTGCATTTGATTGATGACGAATACAAAATACAAAATGTCAAATTATTCACCAAACGCGTTCCGATTCTGCGAGAGGCGTCAGAATCCCACCGTTTTGCGCCGAAACGCCCGCCGTATTTTTCTAATTGAATCATGTGTGATTTATTATTGGTCTGATGATGTATCATTCTTTCAACAGCAGCCGCGGCACCCCACGGGCTTGCGGCGCAAATTATCGCTACAAATGTTCACATCCGTGCTTTTTAACTGTTGTAGGTACCCTTCGTCCCATTTCCCCTCTGCACTTTTTTATTGAACAAAGCAATCGATTTTTTAAGATGAATTACAACTCGGTAAAAATACTTTTAGATTTATAATTTTATTACAATTTCGCTATCATTCTTATTAAAAAGATTGTAAGCGCGTAGAATGTTCTAAAATTGTCCAAAATTTTCTAAATTTTTAATTCTAAATGTCAGACCCTTTCTACTGGAAACGAGGCATTCCATCTTAGTCTTCAAGCGTGACAACGCGTTTGCATTTTGATTCGTAATCGAGGATAGATGTAGATGTCTATGGGCCACAGCAACTACTTACCATAGGGTGGATTGTGTGCTAGTTTTCAGCCTATCCTAAAAAAATTGTAGTAATAAAAGTAGAAAGGGACAGATATCTAATTGTATTCTTATGTGATGATAATGGCGATAATGGTAATAAATTCGTATATAGATGATAAAAAGATAACTCATTCTATCATAGCTTTACTTCAAAACTTGTTGATAGATATTAAAGGTCTTCATATGTTAGTACACGCCTGCACATAAGCATTAAATTGCATTAATAATTTATTGGTGCCGGCGGCAATCGGATTAGGGTAGCTAGTGTATAGTAAAATTTAAAGCGGGCGATAGCCCCTGAGCTACCACAGCTCTAATGATTAAAGCCTTACTTCTACGATTTAAAATATATTCAGATGCAAAGTCACAAATAACAGGTTTTTACATCAATCTTTTTACAATAAAAACGTAGTATAAAAAACAAAAACATACATTACATCTTTCTATACATGCGTATACCCATGCATACATGTTGTTATTTTAACTTAGAAAAATTATTGTGATTTTCCAAACAAATTCATTGTTTGTATTTCGCTCGCTGTAGTGGTGCTGACGCTTTTAGAGTATCTTCATCAGCTAAAAGTGATGGAACTTCCGCCCGTTGGACACATTATGTTGCCAGCCATTGTTTAACGCCCAGTTTACACGTGTGAGGAATTCAGAGATGAGATTTTGTCAAAGATTTTTCTAGTAATAAGAACTTTGTTGTTTTATTAGCACTCTTTGTTATAAAAATAAGTTTCATATTAAATGTTCACGTAATGTTAAATTTGTACTTAAAATGTGTAAATTCAAAAATAATCTTCTTATTTAAAATCTCTTTATTTAAAATCATTTTTTCAATCAACAATATGGTTTTAGGTGCATATGGGTGCGTCTAGTACCGATGAAGAAAAAAGAAGTAAGATGTGTGTGTCAGTGCGTCAAGAAGTAAGATCTGTGCGTGAGCGTGTCAAGAAGTAAGATGTGTGCGTGAGTGCGTCAGGAAGTAAGATCTGTGCGTGAGCGTGTCAAGAAGTAAGATGTGTGCGTGAGGACACAAGAAGTAAGATGTGTGCGTGAGCGTGTCAAAAAGTAAGATGTGTGCGTGAGTGCGTCAGGAAGTAAGATCTGTGCGTGAGCGTGTCAAGAAGTAAGATGTGTGCGTGAGGACACAAGAAGTAAGATCTGTGCGTGAGCGTGTCAAGAAGTAAGATGTGTGCGTGAGGTCACGAAAGTAAGATCTGTGCGTGACTGTCAAGTAAGATGTGTGCGTGAGGACACAGAAGTAAGATGTGTGTGGTGAGCATGTCAAGAAGTAAGATGTGTGCGTGAGGACACAAGAAGTAAGATCTGTGCGTGAGCGTGTCAAGAAGTAAGATGTGTGCGTGAGGACACAAGAAGTAAGATCTGTGCGTGAGCGTGTCAAGAAGTAAGATGTGTGCGTGAGGACACAAGAAGTAAGATGTGTGCGTGAGCGCAAGAAGTAAGATGTGTGCGTGAGGACACAAGAAGTAAGATGTGTGCGTGAGCGTGTCAAGAAGTAAGATGTGTGCGTGAGGACACAAGAAGTAAGATGTGTGCGTGAGTTTGTCGAGAAGTAAGGTGTGTGCGTGAGTGTGTCAAGAGGCTAACCATGGTATTGCCATCACTTGAAATGTATAAGAAGTGCTCCGTCTTTCTTTTTTTGATCAATTGTATGATTAATATTTGAATAGTTATATCGTGCTAGACACCCGCTGCAACTGTATTATGACTGTAGAATGAATGGGTTGGCTGGACCAAAAGAATATTCTTAAAGCTCAAACAGAACGCCAACTTGAAATAGCAGCAGATTACAGCTATGTTTCGTACGGTGAGTGTAGACAACCATTTTATTTCATTTCATTAATACTCTTTTTGATTCACATTCGTGGATAAATGTAGGTATCTATGGGCCCATAAAAATTACATACATACATGGCGCCACGCCTGTAATCTCCGAAGGAGTTGGCAGATTTCAAACAACAGCGACTTACTCGTCAACGTTAAGCCAATTAATGTGAATTAGATGGTAAATTACAAAGGATATATGTGGCTAACCCACTGCCTACATAATTACACACATAATATAATACCATTAGTGACCTTTTACGATGTGCTAGGAAGTAAAACAGTTGGCACATTCTTTTTTTTTTGTAATCCCATATGAGACCTAAGGTTTCAGACTAACATGAGACTCACAAAGATTTCTAATGACTAATTTTTGTTTATTGAATATCATGTCATATGTTTATTAAAAGCCAGCACTAAAATCTCTAAGTATAGAGAGACAGGCGGGTGGCTCACCCGCGAGGGCTGGCACAATGGTCTCGTGATTTCCGCACCGCTGGGCGGTTACAATCCGCGCGGGCGCCTCGTCTGCGAACGCGGCCTCTGAGCTTTGAGCTCCCTCGCGTATTTCTAATGTGAACTTCCACACGTAGGGTTGAGACACCTGTAAAATTTTAAGAAATTAGTAACTCTGGGAATTCTAAAGCATTAATAAAAATTAAGAAGGTAGTTTGGTATTTCTTCTTCTTTTACTCAGTCCGACCAATATAGCCCTTTAAGGTAACGTACCAGAAAATAAAGGTGGCTAAAATATGTAAATAATAACACATTTATTTAATTAATATATTCACTTCACGAACCCATAAGAGCCCTATATTGGATACAGACTTTTTATATAGTAGGGATTATAAAATGTAGCAAGTTGGCAGGTTGAAGAGCTACCAGACACTTGAGGCTCCTATCATTACGGGCCTCGGCATTTTATTTTACATCCTATTTATAAAAGCAAATTTAATTTATTATACACAATTCTGTAAATAGAACACTGCTTGATAACTAACTAACTAACTGCTCCGTTTTCAATATTTTCTCCTAATCCTATCCCGGTTGTTATTAGGTAAGGCAAAAACGAAGCAACCACAAACAAAACATGAGCGATTGCGCTACATATATGTAATATTACTGTTACTACTGCTGCTGTCTGTACTGTCTAAAGTTAGTTACAGTCTATATACGTCTCACTGCTGGGCACAGGTCTCCCTTCATTCTTAAGAGGGTTTTGGGTAAGGAAGTGTCCGCCGCGCAGCCCAATGGCGAACTTCACGTGTATTCGAAATATTTTTTTTCTTATTCCTCAGACATGCAGGTTTCCTCCCAATGTTTTCCTTCACCGCCGAGCAAGTGGTAAATCAGCACTTAAAATTGCAATTAACAATTTCATTGGTGCCGGTAGAAATCGAACCCGGGTTACTTGCGTTCTGTTATATTTACAGCGAGCGTCTGGTTGTCTTAATTCCGAAATTGATCACAAGATAACATAATAAATAAAAAATTACATACTAATATGCACTTTACTCAATATGCGTAAAATTTTAACGATACATAAAATAATATTTTAATTTAATTGGCAACCCTATTGTAGGTAATGTGGACAAGCGCGCCACGGCTCCCTGCCGCGTCATTGTGCGTTCACGCCGTGTGACACGACGACGCCTTTCAATAAAATTTTTGTTTTGCACACTCCTTAATTATCTTGATTAGGAGTGTTGGATTCATTTACCAACATGGTTTTAGGTGTTTTTGCTACACGTGGAAAATAAGTTAGATAACAGTACCCGGATGACCGAGCCTTGCTCGGTTTTTTTGAAATTACATTTAGATACAAATTACATACTGATGAAACGTGAATAATATTTTTTGATCTTATTGACATACTAGAAAAAACTGAACTGGTTATTTCAATAAAAAAATCATGAGTGCAATTAGTTAAATTAAAATATTTGTATTTTTAAAAAATACTAAAAAAGGGCTCGAAATAATAGATTTTCTCACAATAGAAGGGAACTTGAAAAAAGCCGGACCGCAGACAGGACGCGAACCAAGACATTACGATTTCGCGACCGCTCGATATCCACTTGAGCTATTACGTGTACGTGGTACACAGTGTCAAAATTTATCTTTTTATATTGTATCAGTTTTTCATTGCCTGAAAACACGGACAAAAAAAAAACATTTTATAAAAATAAATCCTAGCTAGATCGATTAATTGCCCTTGAAACTCCCTGGACACCAAATTTTATGAAAATCGTTGCGCCGTTTCCGAGATTCTGATTATATATATAAAGAATTGCTCGTTTCAAGGTATAGGATTTTAGGTGCATACCCCTCGATTTTTCTGCACACCTGTTAAAAGAAGAATTTGCTGAGGTGTAATGCCGAATAACCTATATATTCATTAAAATACGCGGCATTTCCAGCACTAAATTCTCTACTTTCTACCTTAATTTGTTTTCCATGAAAGATTATAACAAAAACGAACTTAAGAACTAGCTGACAAGTGAATACCACACTCGACAGTGCAGTGATGTAAAACATTATTACTATTAGGCTTTACACAAAGGGGGATTTTCACTTTTTACAAATAACTTGACTACAGGAGAAATAACTGAATTTGCATTTCACGTTCTAAGCTTCTAACAATAAAATTTGTATTACTGCTCACTTCACGAAAATTATAGGTAACTTTTTCTCGACTTGTTTAGAGCATCTGGCCCGATAATATCAGGAAAACACCCAAAAGGTATGCTTTTAAGAAGTTGGTTCGTAGAGATAACGCTTGTTACATGTAGCGCATGACTTAAAAATACTTGAGTCATCCGACATGAAGGCAACGTGACATATTATTCCCAGATCCTAAGCTTCAGCAAAAATGAGAGTAAGCCTGTATTTATTAACTCACGTAAGCTTTTTTTTACCTTGTAATTTGGTATTAAAAAGCCCGTTTGTAATGTTTAATAATGACCAAGTCGTGACATTTTAAACCTTAAACCCAGATGTAAATAGGTTTATTGAAAGAGTTATTAGAGACCTTAGAGTTCTTGAAATAAAACTGGTATAGTTCAAAAAAGAAATAAACAGGGTCCTGAAATGATGTTCAGGTCTCTGATCTGTCCTGAATTTCATAATTTTTTACACTTAACTTCACGAAATTTATGTCAACAAACTAAAATTTTCTTCTGTATGGTGAAGGCGTTTCACAAGTAAGTTTTACACATATTCTGAGTCAAGAAAATGTTTGTAGATTATACAAATATTTGTTTCATGCGGATTTCGAGCCCACGGGCCCGCAGCGCTTTAACCGAATGCTTAGGACTGCGCTACAAATCCGTTAAATCTCTTATTCAGTGGATAAAGGTACAATTGTTGATCGAAGGGTATAAATGAATGCAAAATATAAGGCAAGTTTTATTAGACATAGACACTAAACAGCGTGTAGCACAATTTTCAAAGTCTATTCCCAGATTTAGAAAAAATTTTAGAAAGATCTTAAACAATTTTTATCTTGTTGTTATACGTTGTAGAGCCACCCTGCAGCTATATTATGGCTGTAGCACGAATGGGTCGGCTCGACCGGGGAAGGACCACGCTCTCATAGAATACCAGCGTAAAATAGCAACCTAATGCTGCTGTGTTTCGTATGGTGAGTGTAGAGAACCGGAGACCCGTTTAACTGGAGTCGAGGCATTCCATCTTAGTTTTCAGGGGTGACAACGCATGCATTTTGATTATTAATCAAGGTTAAATGTAGATGTGTCTATGAACCACAGCATCTCCTTCCCATCAGGTGGACTGTGTGCTCGTTTATTCTATTAAAAAAAAGTAAATATGTATTTGCATTTTGATATCGATACAAATTTCTATCATCATCATCATCATCATCATTACAGCCCTTCACAAGTCCACTGCTGAACATAGGCCTCCCCCAAGCAACGCCACAAAGCACGGTCCTGAGCCACCTGCATCCATCGACTTCCTGCATGTCTTACCAGGTCGTCACTCCATCTAGTGGGGGATCGCCCTACACTACGCCCACCGGTACGAGGCTGCCACTCGAGAACCTTTCTTCCCCATCGGTTATCGGTTCTTCGAGCTATATGGCCGTCCCATTGCCACTTCAGCTTATTAATCCGTTGGGCTATGTCGGTCACTCTGGTTTTACTGCGGATATCCTCATTTCTGAGTCTATCACGCAGAGAAACTCCGAGCATAGCCCTCTCCATAGCTCGCTGAGCGACCTTGAGCGTCCTCATACGGCCAGCAGTGAAGAACCACGTCTCTGATCCGTAAGTCATCACTGGCAACACGCACTGGTTGTACACTTTAGTTTTCAGAGATTGAGGTATACCTGACGAGAAGATGTGTCGTAATTTCCCGAACGCTGCCCAGCCGAGTTGAATCCGTCGATTGACCTCTCGGTCGAAGTTGGACTTACCTAGTCGGACTATTTGTCCCAGGTAAACGTACTCGTCAACAACTTCGAGCATAATTTATATACAGTTACGTTATATATACCCGTTGTTAAATACTATTCTAGTGTTAACAATTGAAGTCAATAACAATGAATGGTTGAATTAACAACAGAAACATACATACAATATTATGACAGATATCTAGTAAAACTAACAAAACAAAAAGAATTTCCCTACTATATTATTCTTTGTGTTTCAATTATCGTTAAATACAAGTATATATTACATGCAAAATATATAATATACATTATGTACGAGTAATTCTTATGTGGGAACGATTAACTGCCCCATAACCGACCGACCGTGGCGTCGGCCGGTCACGATACATTGCTTCCCACCGTCTACCATTCCGCGTCGGTTAAAACATAATTGCCACTGAAACACTCCAATTGGTGCCGATTTTATGCATTGTTATAGAATCTAACGTAATTTTTCTCTATAGGGTTTAGAACTTCATTACGCCACACACAGTTTTAATAAGCTAAAATATAAGATATCTACCTTTCCTCCATCTTTTTCTTCATCAGATAATAAAAGTATTTCACTGTACATAGGCTCCTGTTATAGGGAGGATAATCATTAACTGCCACGCTTGACAGACGGATTGGTAATCGGTAACAGTGACCGTATCGCAACTTTGGAGCTGCACAATGTCCTTGATGAAAACAATCATTGAGACTTAATCGATGGTTCCCATAATCGAATGACGAAAAGGGATGATGTATTTGCATGTATATATACTTACTTATTATTTTACAACTATCGCTAAGCTAAGTAGCGGCGTAGGAGAATCTGTTATTCATCACAACCAATTTCATTCTGTGGGAGTCATTCATAGGAGGCAGAGGGAGACTGAAATACCTATGAGCAATGGATAAGAAACTGCGGCTACCAATGAGGCAATCTACGGGGGAGAGATGTAAAAAAGATGATTGTAACTTTTATTTGTTTTAAGATGTAGAGTTAAATCTAGGTTACATTTTGTAATTACAAGCAAGTTAACGTTCATACACTTATCTGTAAGTTATTTAAAAGCGACAGCTTTAAAACATTAGGGTACAGTTACACGTCTCATTTTATAACCGTCACTATAAAAAGGGCAATAAAGACATAAACCGCGTATCTCCTGTGGCTAACCTAATGATGGCATTTACTTTGATATCACTCTAAACAAATAAAATATAAAACGCAGGCGGTCGATTATATTCAGATCTGTGAAATACAATCGTAACAGGTGGATTTCCGATTTTTTGTAGAGTATGTGTCAGCTGTCTGAGTTTTCTTTAGGCAATTAACATCTTTTAATATTTAACCTGCTGTTACTTTGGTTCATTCATTAATAATAAAGTTATACATTACCTGTTTGTAAAAAAATGAGATAGTCTAATTAGTTTTTTCATTTTTAGAATGTAGATGTAATTTTTAATAATTGCTTTTGATGTCAGGCAAATGTAAGCACATTTTTACAGATCACATTATTTACCTTGACCTTATTCACAGATTTTTACGTAACCAAACAAGGATAATAATTCATTCTTTATTATTATTTATTCTTTATTAGTTCTACCAAACCTATTGCTGGATGTACGTTGTTTGATAGCTTCGTCAACTGCCATACGGCAACACGGTTATTAGCTAGCCATATTAGTAAGCGCAAAACCAATAGATACCTAGCATTTAGCGAGGAACAGACAGATTTGTTCGTAATCAATCCCGTGGCAATCAATCTTACCATACACTTCCTGGCATTTGCACTGGAGAGTTTTTATGAGAGTGCATAAACAGCTGAATTCAGCATTCCTCATAAGTACGCCACTTAGTCAGATCTGTGGCTTTACGCATCGAATTGTTGTTAACTGCCTTCACAGATTAGCGTTTCATCTTGCATATCATGTTACTTTATTCTAAGAGAGATTATTATGACTAAAGTATAAATAATGTAGGATGTGAAATTAAGAATAGCTACGTATTTAAAATGAGGGGAACTGAATCTGTTTACAACGATAGGTTTCCCTTAAATTATTAGAAATATTACTGAAGCCTCTACATAATAACTCTACTCTAAATCTACTTGTATTAATGCTTAAAATAAATGGTTCTAAAATTGGCACCACATTCCGAGGTATTTGGAAAAACTGAGAGTATTTTTTTTCCGTGTCTCGCAATACTTCATCATCACCATGACAGCCTTTCATAAGTCCACTGCTGAACACAGGCCTCCTTCAAGGAATACCACAAAGCACGGTCCTAAGCCACC